AAAAAAAAAAAAAAAAAAAAAAAAAAAAAAAAAAAAAAAAAAAAAAAAAAAAAAAAAAAAAAACATCTAGAAACCAATTAAATGCCCATAAGTCAGGGAATGTATAAACTAAGGCTGAAAAATATGTAACAGTAAAAAGAAACAAAACATTGAAGTCTATCTACCATCTACCTCAATCAATCAGCATAGCCAGACCTCAGTAACAGACTTAATTTTTTTTTGTTTATTTTTCAGAGAGAGAACGGCTGAGAGCATGGAAGGAGGGGAAAACAGAGAGGGAGGTCAGAGGATCCAAAGCAGGCTCTAGCGCTGTCAGCAGCGAGCCAGTGAGGGGGCTCGAGTTCGCCAACTGGGAGAGCATGAACTGAGCCAAGGTCAGATGCTTAACTGACTGAGCTACCTACGCACCCTCGAAACAGACTTTTTAAATGAAAAACTAAATTACAGAACGATGCACTATGTGTCATCATGAAAATAAGACCACACGGGGTGCCTGAGTGGCTCAGTCGGCTAAGCGTCCAACTTCGGCTCAGGTCATGATCTCAAGGTTTGTGGGTTCGAGCTCCGTGTCGGGCTCTGTCCTGACAGCTCAGAGCCTGGAGCCTGCTTCTGATTCTGTCTCCCTCTCTCTCTGACCCTCGCCTGCCCACGCTCTCTCTCTCTCTCAGAAATAAAACATCAAGAAAGTTAAAAAAAAAAAAAAAGAAAAGATCACAAATACAAAGTTAAAACCACAGACATTAAAGAATACCACGTATCTTCTATGAATACCCATTTAAAGTTTTAGAGAAGCCCTATAAAGATCAAAAAGTATAAATCAAACTAATTACAGCGGTTACTAGTCAATGAGGGAAATGGATTTAGAGACTTGGTAGAGGTAAAAATCAACTTTGGGAAAAACTGTAAATTCCTAGAAAAGTTGCAAAGACGTGCCGTTCGCCCCGCTTCCCTGATGTTAACCCCTCACATACCCACGGCGTGCCAACATGAAGATGTTAATAGTGCCACAACAGTATTAACCACACTGCAGACTTCCTGTGGATTTCTATGCTTCTTCCACCAATGTCCTTTTCCTGTCCCGAATCCAATTCCGGATAGGATATCGTACTTCAGAAAGTTAACTTTTTGGGGCACCCGGGGGGCTCAGTCGGTTTATCACCTGACTCTTGGTTTCAGCTCAGGTCATGATCTCACGGTTTGTGAGATCGAGCCCCATGTTGGCCTTTGAGCGGACAGTGTGGAGCCTGCTTGGGATTCATTCTCTCTTTCTCTCTCTGCCCCTTGCCCGTGAGTGCTCTCTCTCAAAAATAAACGTTAAAAAAAAAAAAAACCACGAAAACCATACTTTCCTGTCATTAAGTAAAAGGTCCCTCCCCCACCCCCCACTCATTTCCACACAAAACTCGGAATGGACTCCCTATTGCCAAGTCCATCTGCTGTAAGTCTGCTCTCTTCTCCATGCTTCAAAGCGTGCACTTGTGAGACAGGTCTGGCTTTCCGCTCCGGGGAAAAGGCCACCAATTAAATCCTGGCCTTTCTAGGTCACGAATAGAGGAGCGGAGTTGGAGCACTGATTTAAGAAGAAGTTGTTACTCAAGAGGAAACGAATAATAAAAATGAACCTTATCACGTGAGCCCTTGTGCTCACTTCGTTCCCTGGGAAAAAATGCTTGCGTCACACGCACCTGTGGGACCATCGCCACTCTCTGGTTTCTTTTAGGCGACCTGGTATTTATTTGTCTGTCGTCTTCGTCAGAAAAGAGTCGACTTCGCTTTGAGTTTCTGAAAGGCTAGGATAGAAATTTGTTTATTTAATACAAAGACCAGACACTTCCCATTTGTGTTCTACAACCGAATTCTGTACCTGGGAGATCCCACTGAGGCTGGCAGGATGGCGTGCAGGGGATACAAGCGCACAAAGTCAATGTCACTGATCTTCAATTTACATAGGAGTGAACTACGTACTTAGGCAATCTGTCGATAACTCAAACACCTCGCCGATGAGTAAAATCGGAACCCAAGTACCCTGAGCAGCCTCGAATGGTGCGAGAGGAAAGTAAGTTCTGGAAACTGCAGTCCTCATTATGTCAGTGCTTGGACTGTGGGTGGTGAGGGTGTCACGCGATGTGTCTGTGGCAGAGGGCTGGGCTGGACAGAGTTACCAGATCCCTCGAGAGAGCCAACTGAAGTGTATAACAACACTAGGCGCTCTGTCAAGACGCGGGAGCCGAACTTCCATCTGTGACTAAAAGCACGAGGCTCCTATCGCAGCTGTCTGGTAAGTGCCTGTAGGACTGGCCACAGAACAAGAGCTCGGAACCAGAGCTCACTGGGGTAAGTACCCAAAGGCCATCATACGTTGAAGCGTCTGTGATAGGAACGATCTGACAGTCTGCCCTCGGTTCAGAGGCCTCAGAGACAGAGAAGGACAGCAGAAGTAATACCGCGACGATAGCCACATCCTGTTTCAACTCCTTCCCCAGCACCAGACACGGAGCCTCTCGCATAGCTGGAAGGGGGGTGGGCATGGAGGGTAAGCAGCCTATGGCCAGCAACCAACAGGGTCAAGGCCAGAGGTGCTGGGCTTTGAAGTTAAACCCACCGACAGTCTGAATACTCCATAGCCCTGACAGGAAGTCCCTTCTACCCTATCTGTACTCACCCTTGACCTGCATGAGGTTTTGAGATCTTACCACTTACTTATGTATCTTTTTGCAGAGAGCAGAACCAGGTGACATTTTTTATATTTGAAGTAAAGCATGATTCGGAGTGGTCAGAAGTTGGTGTGTGTGGTTTTTTGTTTGTTTTTAGTCTGGCCTATTTAAAGAGACTGCAATGGCTTAACCAATGCCCATTGATGACTACATTCTCAAAGGTTACGGACTGAGTATGACTGTGTACCACTCAATGACACTTAAAGCCTCAAATGCTTGGGGATGGGGAAACCCCTGGAAAACTCGTACTGTCATCTGCACGTGACAATAGTACAGAAAAGTGAGCTATCATATTCTAAAGAGTAAGAAACACTAATTCCTTACCATTTCCACAGCAGGCCCCGTGTTCCTGCCTTTCCAAACAGGTGTTTTTTGTAAAGAGCTGTACTTTTCATTCCGTGTGTTAGATAAGCTTCCCTCTGTAATAAGTAATTATTACTAATAAGATTTAAGTTCGAAGGATGTATACTACAAACATTGCCTTTTTATTAACAGCAATATATCTGAAATATTTACCAAAATGGACAAAATATACTGATCACAGTAATCTTGGTTTATTACAAATGAAAAAAATCTCTTCTGTATTTTTTTTGTCAAACACTACATAATTTGACAATGCACTGTGTCTTGAAAGTATTAAATTTCATAGTAAAATATGTGTGGTTTCTTTCTTTGTGTTTTTAGTAATGCCTTCCTTCTAATTTGCTAAGAATAAGCATAATCTGATTGAAAACAGGGCAACGGAGAAATGGGAAAAGCTTCTAACCTTGAATTTAGAGTATATTTCTAAATGTTTCCTGCTTCAAGATGTGAAACCCTGGATATACAAAAATAAAATGTGTGGGTGTTTCTGTTTTCCTTGATTCAAACAAATGTCTTCAAAGCTGTATGCAACCAGAAACAATCCAATCAGGTAACTGATTAGGGATATGATGAAAATCAAGAGGGCGAGTTTAACTTTTGTAAAAAAGGAGATGTTTATATAAAGACACAGAAAACGAGGATGAATATACACAAGACAGTGGTTTTTATTTCCTTCTAGCTGCTCATCAGCATTTTCTAATTGTTTTCTGTAAGAAATAGATCACTTGTATATGTATTTTTTTTTTAAAGACAAACGGTTTTAATACTGGCAGAAAAAGAACAAAGGAATACTTTTTCAGATGTACATTTTAAGAAGCACAAGAAAGGAGGAGTGGGTTGGGGCGCCTGAGTGGCTTAGTCGGTTAAGCGTCCGACTTTCGCTTAGGTCATGATCTCGCGGTTCGCGGGTTCGAGCCCCGCGTCGGGCTCTGTGCTGACTGACGGCTCAGAGCCTGGAGCCTGTTTCAATCTGTGACTCCCTCTCTCTCTGACCCTCCCCTGCTCATGCTGTCTCTCTCTCTCCTAGAAATAAATAAAACATTAAAAAAAAAAAATTAAAAAAAAAAAAAAGGAGGAGTGGGGCCGACCCTCCCAGGCAAACACAGTAGGGCCGTCGTGGAGATAATGTTCTCAAGCCGGGACTCAATTTGGTAAACCACCAATTAAAGCACAACACAGTAGCTCTAAAAACTCAAAGTACTAAAGAACCTTTGAGCAGAGCATGGTTCAGGATTTACTTACCCGGTAGAATCCTGATCCAGCAAAATCTCAAAACAAACTACAGTAAGAGGGTGGCCTAACATTCATGCAGAAAGAGCCAAGGAACACGTATAATTTTTTTTCTGAGAAAAGTACTATCGTTCTTTTATTTCAAGAGACTTGTATTATTACATATAAGGCAAGATTCTTGAAAAATAAACTCATGCAAAAATATGGCTGAGCACAGCTGCTTAATAAAATGCTTTCATTCTAGGGGTGCCTGGGTGGCTCAATCAGTTGAGTGTCCGACTTTGGCTCGGGTCATGACCTCACAGTTTGTGGGTTTGAGCCCCACGTCGGGCTTTGTGCTCACAGCTCAGAGTCTGCTTTGGATTCTCAGTCTCCCTCTCTCTGTCCCTCCCCCACTCACAAACTCTCTCTCAAAAATAAACATTTTTTAAAAACTTAATTAAAAAATGCTTTCACTCTACTAAGATATCTGGAATGTTTAGTTAAAAAGTTCTTGGGGTTTGGGCACCTGGCTGGCTCAGTCGGTAGAGTGTGTGATTCTTGATCTGGGGGTCATAAGTCCCAGGCCCATGTTGGAGGTAGAGGTTACCTCTAAATTAAAGAAAAAAATAAAGTTCTTTAATCAATAATTCTAGGGAAACTTTTTCTGTTGTTGTTTCTTTTAAGACTTTATTATTCTTAAAGAATCTCTACACCCAATGCGGGGGCTTGAACTCACAACCCTGAAATCAAGAGTCGCATGCTCGACCAGCTGAGCCAGCCAGGTGCCCTGGGGGAAAAATTTCTTAATAATTTCCAACCACCAAGGACCAATTCTCCTATAACAGTCTATGAGTTTAAAATTATCATCAGTGAAAACCAATATTAAAAACCTAGAATGAAGGCTAATTTAGAAAGAAAAGAGAAACATTCTATCCACCTTACTTTAATGAATTAAATTTCTAGTTTCTGCTGTGCCTGAAGAACTGTGCTATGATCTTACCTTTTAAACTGACCAGTGCTTTTGCTGAAGAGCCTGCAATGAAAACAAATCAGTATTATTTCCAAATCAACGTGAGAGAAACAGAGCATGGCTTACGGGGTGCAAGTGGCCCTTCTAGTTTTAGGGGTGTCAAGAGTGAAGTGGCAGTGGGGTGCACAACCAGAGATAACCAGAGCGGGGAGTGCCTGAGGGCTCAGTCGGCTGACTTTTGATTTCAGCTCAGGTCATGATCTCATGGTTTGTGGGATCGAACCCTGAGTCGGGACTCTCTTCTCTGTCCCTCCTCCTTTCCCACTCTCTCTCTCTCTCTCAAAAATAACTAAACATTAAAAGAAAAAAAAAAGACAGAAAGAAAGAACCAGTGGGCCATTCCAGCTGCGGGCAGGACCTCAGACAAAGCAGGGACGAGCTGGAGAGAGCTCCCTGGGAGTCTCACGGAAGCTGTATGCGCTGAGGGAGGGAAGGCAGGGAAGATCCACAAAGAAGGGACTTTGGATCCTCACCCAGGGGCGTCCTGGTGCCCGAGGAGAAAAGGAGAAAGAAACGGCCATGTACGGAAGCGAAGATGGGAAGCGGTGGTGGAGGGGAGAAAAGAGAAGTTGAAAAGGACCCAGGGGACTGGTCCCTTGGGAGTTGAGAGGACACCCCCCACCCCCAGCCGGAGTCAGAGCAGCTGAGGGACGCTGACACACAGCCAGAGGGCTCTCTGATGAAAACGCGCCATAGTGTGTATGCGAATGACCACAGAGAATCTGTCTGTTAATAAAGGTCCGCAGGGCGCTGTCGCTCTGATGGCTGTCGCGGAGACCACAGGAAAGTATGTGTTCATGAGACAGGGAAAGCGCTACCCTGAAAGTCTCAGAACTGGACACAGACACTGCCAGGAAGTCCAGGTCATCTAAAAAATACTAGGGGGCGCCTGGGGCGCTCAGTCAGTTGAGTGTCTGACTTTGGCTCAGGTCACGATCTCGCAGTTTGTAGGTTCGAGCCCCGGGTTGGGCTCTGTGCTGACAGTTCAGGGCCTGGATCCTGCTTCAGATGCTGTGTCCCCTCTCTCTCTGGCCCTCCCCCGCTCTCAAAAATAAACATCAAAAACAATTAAAAACAAACATACAAAAAACATCAAACCTGAACTCACAGACACAGAGAACAGACTGGTGATTGCCGAAAGTGGGGGCTGGGGCGTGGGCAAAATGGGTCAAAGTGGTCAAAAGGCACACACCTTGGCTACAAGAAAAGTAAACCCCGGAGACGTGACGCACGGCGCAGCGCCCAGAGTTCACAACTCCATACTGTACACGTGAACTTGCTAATAAAGCAGATCTTAAAAGTGTTCAGTGTAAGAGAAAAAACTGTAACCACGGTGGTGGCAGATGTTCACCGAGAAGCAGTCACTTCACATGTATCAAACCTTTATGTTGTGTGCCTGAAACTAATACAATGTTAATACAATGTTAAATATCAATGTTCTCTCCCTTTTTAAAAATAGGAAAAAAAAAACCTTTCTACGCTCCAGAATAGAAATATTTCACAGAATTCTGAATGAGCAAAAACTTCCTCTTTTAACTTAAAAAAAAAAAAAAAACCTGTTGAGAACACCTTTTTTCCCCCGTTACTATAGTCAAATAGTTATGTATCATTCCTCACTTTTAAATTTGTTTTATTCTAGAACCAGCTACTTCTCTTCCCTGCTACCGCGACATCCATTTACGTTTGATAGAATATAATCTAACATCAGGAGGTAGTTACATCATTTGGAAGTTTGGTCATTCACCTGCACTGAGAAAAGACAAAACTTTAAACGGCATGCTCAAAATGTGTATAAACCTCTTTAAGGAGCCAATCCATTACGGAATTTCCTTTTTTAAAAAAAATTTTAAAATGTTTTATTTATTTCTGAGAGAGAGACACAGCGTGAACAGGGGAGGGTCAGAGAGAGAGGGAGACAAAGAACCCGAAGCAGGCTCCAGGCTCTGAGCTGTCAGCACAGAGCCCGACGCGGGGCTCGAACCCACGAACTGTGACCTGAGTCGAAGTCGGATGCCCAAACGACTGAGCCCCCCAGGTGCCCTGTATTATAGCATTTCCTAAAACACAAAAACAAATGAAGGATGACGTCAAGGGATAAAGAAAGAGGAATATGAACTAGGTAAAAAAACCTGAGAAGGCAGATTTGTCCTCCTCGCTGTGTCGCGGAAGCAGCCCCGGTTTATAACTTGGGTTAAGAGACCACAGACATAAAATGAGAAGAAGCCACGGATCGGGTACTGACTGCAGTTCTTGGCTACTAAGCATCTGTATGCATCTCAGGGTCCTAACTTAGCTGACCTCTCCTCCGCAGGCAGGAGAGGGGCTCGTAGAAACAGACAGGCCCTCGACAGTCCTCTGGCTCTCACTCTGCTCTCTGCCTGCGTGTGCAGAAAGGGTAATAAGACACCTTAGGAGGCTCCAAACAGCACACGGGGTTAACGGCGGCGGAAGTGGACGCGTAGGGGGAGGTGGGGGAGGGGGGGAGAGGCCACACAGTGGAGCTCAAAGCCTCACATGGTGCACGACTGGGAGGCAGCCGGTGGCCAGGGCGCGGAGCTACCAAGAGAACATGGCCATCTTCAGAAAAAGGAGTGAGCATCCCCTCACCCGGTGGATGCACCGAGTGCTGGCCGCGCCCCAGTCCCTGCGCTAGGCGCTGGGGTACGGCAGCAGTGCAGAGCAGACAGGGTCCCCCCTCACATGGAGTCTACATTTGAGGGAGGGGAGATACACAAATACATCAGTGGGGGGAGGGGGGCAGGGGTGGGAGAGGGAAGACCCTGTTTCTCTAAGGTGCTCATGATCAGTCAGGTGACATCTGAGCAGAGATCTGAAGGAAGAGGTGCTCCATTCTGCTCCATGAAGGCAAGGCTCTGCCCTAGGAACTCTGACCTACCACTTTTAGCCTTTTCCCCCCTTTTTTGAGAGGCTGTATTGTGTAATGGTTAAGGGCACACATCGAGACTGGCTGTGTTTGCATCTCGGTTCTGCCACATTTTTGCTGTGTTACCTTAAGCAATTTACTGAACTTCTCTGTGCTGCTGCTGCTTCACTTGTGAAGCAGGAATTAAACAAGCTACCATGTGTAAAGGTGTTCAGAGAACAACGCACACAGCACACACACAGCTAATTTTTTAGATCATGCTTATTGTCAGTATTGCTTTGATCAATGGAAAAAACACTTCTGGGCTAAGCACATGGATTTTACAGCAGGTGAACGCAGGTTAGGATACGTGCTGTACATTTTCATTCGTTCATCCAACCCAGTAGTCACCAGATGCCTACGGCAGCACTATTCAGGGGCTGGGACCCGCTGAAGGAAGAGCCGATGCCTCTGCCCTCAGTGAGCTTGCACTCTGGTGGGAAGAGACCCACAAGAAGAAGGAAGAGCAGGGATGCCTGGGTGGCTTAGTCGGTTAAGCGTCCGACTTTCGCTTAGGTCATGATCTCGTGGTTCATGGGTTCAAGCCCTGCATCGGGCTCTGTGCTGGCTGCCAGCTCAGAGCCTGGAGCCCATTTCAGAGTCTGTATCTCCCTCTCTCTCTGACCCTCCCCTGCTCACGTTATGTCTCTCTCTCTCTCCTAGAAATAAATAAAAATATATAAAAAAAAAAAAGAAGAAGAAGAAGGAAGAGCCAATGCCTCTGCCCTCAGCGAGCTTGCACTCTGGTGGGAAGAGACCCACAAGAAACAAGTGGACGAAATAATAACGATGCGTGCAGTTGTAGTAAAGGAAACAAAGGAGGTGTGTATGTGTGTGTATGGGAGGGTATGCCACACTGCTCCCTTCTCTGAGGAAGGAACATCTAGAAAGGACCAGTCTTGCGAGAGCAGGAGGTCAGAGCGATGAGTCTGGACAGAAGAAATAACAGGTTCAAAAAGCCCTGAGACAGAAACTTTAGAACATTCAGGAGGTGGGGGGCAGAGGCCACTGTACTCAGGGGGCAGAGGGCAGAGGCCATTGTGCTCAGGGGGTGGGGGGAAGAGGCCACTGTGCTCAGGGGGCGGGGGGCAGAGGCCACTGTGCTCAGGGGGCGGGTCATGGGAAAGGGTCCAAGAAGGAAGCCAGGTGTCAGGCGTGAACTAGAAAGTCAAGCAGGAAGAAAACCGGACCCCCAGGCCCTCTCCGGAGCATCTAACCCATCACGTTGACAGACGCAAAGCTTCCAGCAAGCAGTTCCAGGCCGCGTGCAAAGATTTCATAGAAGGTGTACCCTCGTCAGGGAGCACAGAAAGTAACTTTCTAACGAAGCTTAAAATGGGATCTGAAGGATAAACAGACATCGACCGCCGGTGAGGGGAAGGAAGAACATTTCAGAGGATGAGAAGAGCGTGTGCAAAGGCCTTGCAGGAAAGAAGCAAGCCTGGTGAGTACAGGGAATGATAAAGGTCAAATTAGCTCAGAGGGACAGGATGAGGGGCGCCTGGGTGACTCAGTCGGTTAAAGGTGTGACTCTTGATTTTGGCTCAGATCAGGATCTCACAGTTCTTGGGTTCAAGCCCTGAGTTGGGCTCTGAGCTGGCAGTTCAGAGCCTGCTTGGGATTTTCTCTCTCTCTGCCTCTCCCCCGCTCGTTCTGTCCCTCTCTCTCAAAATAAATAAATTTTTTTTAAAAAAAGGGACAGGAGTAGGGCGCCTGGGTGGCTCAGTTGGTTAAGCGTCTGACTTCGGCTCAGGTCATAATCTCACGGTTTGTGAGTTTGAGCCCCGTGTTGGGCTCTGTGCTGACAGCTAACTCAGAGCCTGGAGCCTGCTTCGGATTCTGTGTCTCCCTCTCTCTCTGACCCTCCCGTCTCTATCTCTCTCTCTCTCAAAAATAAATAAAACATTAAAAAAAAGAGAGAGAGACTGAGTTTGCCTGAACAGGACAGAAAACTCAAAATTATACAAACTTAAAAAAAATTTAAAAGGGGACAGGATGGGAGGAAGAGTGGTACAAAAGGAGGCTAGAGAGATGGGCGTGGCCAGAGTCCAAAGGCCCGGTGGCTCCGTGTCCCCAGCAGCAGGTGACATGGGCAGTGCGTCAATGGGAGGCCAAAGGGACTGGTGCACAGGCGGTGCCCTGGCTCGGGTAGGTGACGGGGAGAAGGTGAAAGTTACAAGAGGTAGTCAAGTCCCTGATACAGGAAATGGAGGACAGGGAAGTGCCCCAGCTTTCAGTGACAGGTAGGAATCACTGGGAGGGCCTCACGGGGGGTGGGGGGATTATGAGGCGGGTCTTGAACCCTTGAAGTTGAGGATTTCACAAGGACAGGAGATGTGAAATAGGCAGTAGGTGGGAGGAAAGGCCTGGATCTCCTCGAAAATACGGTCACAGGGCGAGAGAACTTGCCTCAACTGAACCCGCACCTCGGCATCTGGGTCACAGCAAGTGCAGGAAAGGTAGCTGTCATTACTGATAATGTACACTGGCCACTGGCTAACGCACTAGCTAGTCCCTGCGACTCAAACTGGCCGAGAAACCCGCCATCACTTTCCTAGACTCTGCTCCAGGTTCACGAGCAAGACCCCAATTCAGCCTAAATCAAGTGTCTACATCCACCTGACATGCAGCACGCCTGTGACCCACCAAGTCTGCGCCCCTTGCGTTCAGCAAGCTGTGGTCTCGCTAAACAAGACGTCCCCCCGTGCGCACACAGGTGTGCGGCCCGTGTGCCCCCCGCGAGCCAGAGAGTCACAGCGGAACATAAATGGTGGTAATGCGCTTGCGACCGTGGCAGGCATTCGAATCCTATACGGGCCCCCAGTCCCTGCGAAGAACCCTAGTAAGTCCTCGATATTTAACCCTGGTGAGCAAATACTCCAAATGACACTTAAAGCCACTTCAAACACCCCTCATCGCAACACAAGGCCCAGAGTCTTCCAAATAACGGGTGTCGCGGCCGTGACTCCTGCGCCGCGATGAACAGGTGTGTCATGAGGGATTTTCGGACAAGTAGCACGTCGAGAGGGGAGGCCCACCCTCATTCGGGGGTGCCATCCACCGCCATCCATGGGCTCTCCGAACGAGCAGCAACAGAACTCACGGAGGGTCTGACCTTGCGCCCTGTCCGACCCTGTAACCACCGGACCCCCCTGACCGCCTAGGTGGCAGTGAGCGAACATTAAATAACATTCAAAATTCCGTTCTGTGCCGGCGGCCACCCTTCCGGCCACGGCGACACGGACCGTCTCCACCGCGCTCCAGGTCTCTGACACGCTGAAAGCACCCACTCTTCTCAGACGACCTCCCGCTGGTGGTACAAACTTGTACTTTTTTTTAAAACTTTGTAACGAACGTGTTGGGAGGCCGCGACCCCCGCGAAGAGCACGGCGCCAGCTGCGTGTCGCTCTCCTCCGAGAAGTGCCCACCGGCCTCCTGCTCGCACGGGGGTGGGGGGGGGGGAAGGAGGCGGCTGGGACTCCGGGCTCTGCTCTGCGGGGACCCTGTGCGCGCCCCGCGCGGGGCAGGGGGTCCGGATCCTTCTGGGACCGCCTCAGATGCCCGCCTCTCCCCGGACTTCAGACGACGCTGCGCCCCGCGGGGCCCGTCGCCGCCGGGCGCGGGCGAGCACCCAGGTCGCAGGGGCGGGGAAGGCGATCCCAGGAAGGGCACGGCGCGCGCGCGCCGCGATGCTCTCGGCCGCGGAGGAGGGCACCCCCGCGACTCCGGGGGCACAAGGGAGCGCGCGGGATGGGGGCGGCCCGGGCGTTCCCCACCCCCCCCCGGGGAAGGGCCACCGCCACCTGTGGTCCCGGGGGAAGGGGCCAGCGCGGTGACACGGAAACACTTTCAGGGGTGGACACGCCGGAGGAGGTGGGAGGGGTGAGGGAGGCGGACAGGGGGACCCCCGGCGCCCGTAAACGCAGGAGCCGCGACAGGACCCCACCCCGGCCGGGGCCGCCCCCGTCCCGGCCCCGGGCCCTCGCCGCCCCGGCCGGGCGAGTTACATAAGCTCGCGGGGCGAGCGCGGCGGGCGGCTGGGACGGGCCCCCGCGGCCCGCGGCCGCGCCTCCCCCACCCGGCCCGGGGCCCGCGTGCAGCCCGGGGGGCGCCAGCCCCCTACCCCCGCCGCCGCCCCTGGGCGTTCGGTTTCCGGCCGCGGCGCCCACACCAGCCCAGAAACCCACACACGGACACCATAACAAAGGCGGCGACGCGGCGGCACCACGGCGGCGGGAGCCTGGCGGGGGGGGGGAACGCGCCGGGGCCGGCGGCCGGCCCGCCCGCCTGCCCGGCGGAGAGTACGGCCGGCCGGCGCGGCCCGCGGTGGGGTGGGGGGGGCGGGCGGCCGGCGGGCGGCAGGGGGGCGCTCGGAGGCGCGACTTACTCTCGTCAGGCAACTGGTCGAGCTCCGCCATCTTGAACGAGCCGCGCCGCTTTTTCAAAGGCTGCCCGCCGCGGTGCATTGTGGGGCGGAGACTGTCTTTGCGAGGGAGGTTCGAATGCGGAGCTCGCTGCCCGCGGCGCCGCACCGCTCCCGCCTCCACCGGCTGAGGCGGGCCGGCTCCGCCCGCGGCGGACGGGGAGGGGTGCGGCCGGGCGGGCCCGCGCCGGGCTGGGGCGGGCGGGGAGGCGGAGGCGGAGGCGGCTGCGCCGCCGGGCCCAGCGCCGGAGCGCGCGGGGAAGCGGCGGAGTCCCGCCCGGCCCGCCCGGGCGCCGCCGAGGGCGCTGCTGCGGCTGCGGCCAGAGGGGGGCGCGGCGGGGCGGGCCCGAGGGGCCTGCGGGGTGGCGGCGAGGGACCGCCCCGGCCGGGTGGCCACGTCGGGAGCTCGGGCCGCCGCGGGGCGGTGTCGCGGCGAGCGCGGAGGGCATTGCCAGCCCGGCCACCCGAGGGGTAGTGGAGAGACGACACAGGTAAATTCCGGGAGCTAGAAGTGAAGGCGTGGTGAGGCCAGGACTGTGCAGGGAGGCCGGGCCGAGGAAGCCCTGGGATTTACTCTGGAAGAATGGGGAAGTCGGCTTTGCAAAGATAGGGGTGACGTGCTTGCATTTGTGTTGTAGAACAAAAATGCGGGCGATGGATGGCACTGTGACAAGATGACAGTCCTGGAAACCAGTCTCATTGGTGGGGGGTGGGAGGTACGCTCCTTGGGGGCAGGCAGGCCAAAGGGGAGAGATGCCTGCCCGCACGAGTCCCCCTGGAGGTTCAGAGGGTGGGCTCTGGAGCCCTAAAACCTGCTTGGGGTTCTGACTGCCAGTTGTATATAATCCTCGGCTGTGGATAATACTGTGTTTTACCTTAAAACTCTGTGCTATCACAGTCGCCCCTGAGAAGTGCAGATAATAACAAAGTTGTTTTGCGGATTAAGCGAGCTGGTAGATGCAAAGGCATTCTAGTTCCGAACACATCTTGGCTCAAATGTTAGCTGTCGCTGCCACTTTCAATAGGGAGTGTCACCACCATCTTGGGCCTTGGAAACCAGGTGCTGCAACTTGCCGGGGTAGGAAGGGAGCAGACTGTGAGCAGACTGTGAGCAGACGGGGAGAAAAATTCAGTTTTAGAAAATAATCCTTAGGTCACTAGTTTAACCCCTCCTGTGCCTTCTACGCACATTCTGATGGGCCTTCTAAGAACTTCAACTTCTAAGAAGTTGAAAACAAGGCATCCCAGGACTCTCTGTAGTTGTTTCTTAAACTTTATTTACTATTACTTTTTTTTTTAATTCCATTGTAGTGAACATACAGTATTATATTAGTTTCAGGTGTGCAGTATAGTGATTCAACACATCTCTACATCACTCGGTGTTCAAGTGCACGCCTTAATCCCCATCACCTATTTCCCCCCCGTCCCCACCACCTCCCCTCTGGTGACCATTGTGTGTTCTCTATAGTTAAGAGTCTGTTTCTTGATTTGTCTCACTTTCTCCTTTCCTTTGTTCATTTTGTTTCTTAAATTGCACATATAAGTGAAATCATGTGGGTTTTTTCCCCTCTGACTTGTTTAGCATTGTACACTCTAGCTCGATCCATATTTTTGCAAATGGCAAGTTTTCATTCTTTTTTATGGCTGCAAAATATTCCTTTGTGTGTGTATGTGTATATATCATGTATATTACATCCGTTCATCAGTGGTCATTTGGAATGCTTCTATATCTTGGCCATTGTACATAATGGGCCATAAACAAAGGGGAGCATGTATCCTTTTGAATTAGTATTTTGTATTCTTTTAGTAACTACCCAGTAGGGCACCTGCTGCATTGTTAGGGTAGTTCTGTTTTCACTTCTGAGGAAACTCCATACTGTTTTCCACAGTGGCTGCACCAGTTTGCATTCCCACCAGCAGTACAAAAGGGTTCCCCTTTCTCTGCATCCCCGCCAACAGCTGTTGTTTCTTGTGTTTTTTATTTTAGCCGTTTTGACAGCCGTGAGGTAACAAACTCATTGTGGTTTCAATTTGTATTCCCCTGATGACCAGTGACGATGAGCACCTTTTCATGTGTCTGTAGGCTGTCTGTATGTCTTCTTTGGAGAAATGTCTGTCCATGCCTTCTGCCCGGTTTATAATTGGATGATTTGGTTTTTGGGTGTTGAGTTGTGTAAATTCTTTTGGATACTAACCCTTTATATGTCATTTGCAAATATCTTCTCCCATTCCGTAGGCAGCCTTTCAGTTTTGTGGTTTGTTTGCTGTGCAGAAGCTTTTTATTTTGATGTAGTCCCAATAGTTTATATTTGCTTTTTTTTCCCCCTTGCTTCAGGAGACATCTAGAAAAACGTTGCTACAGCCGATGTCAGAGACTATACTGCCCATGTTCACTGATAGGATGTTATGGTTTCAGGTCTCACATTCAGTCTTTAATTCATTTTGAGTTTATTTTTGTGCACGGCGTAAGAAAGTGGCCCAGTTTCATTCTTCTACATGTTGCTGTCCAATTTTCCCAGCACCATTTGTTGAAGAGACTATCTTTTTTCCCACTGGATATTCTTTCCTTTGTCGAAGATTAGTTGACCATATAATTATGGATTTATTTCTGGGTTTTCTCTTCTGTTCCGACTGTCTTTGTGCCAGGGCCGTACTGTTTCGATGACTACTGCTTTGTAACACAGCTTGAAGGCCAAAATCGTGATGCCTCCAGCTTAGCTTGGTGTTTTCTACATTATTTTGGCTTTTGTGGCCACACACAAGGTTTAGGATTGTTCTATCTCTGTGAAAAATGCTGGTGGTATTTTGGTGATAGCATTAAGTGTGTAGATTGCTTTGGGAAGTATAGACATTTGAACAGTATTTGTTCTTCCAGTCCATATATTTCTTCAATAAAGACCATCCATGTTTTATAGTTTTCAGAATACAGGTCTTTCCCCTCTTTGGTTCGGTTTATTCCTAGGTACCTTATTCTTTTTTACCTTTCCACTGCTTCGTTATCAGTGTATAGAAATCCGACAGATTTCTGCACATTCATTTTGTATCCTTCGACTTTACTGAATTCATTTATCAGTTCCAGAAGTTTTTTGGTGGAGGCCTTCAGGTTTTTATATAGAGCTGATCTTCTGCGTGTTAAACACAAGCCCTAAATGGGTCTTCTCACACGCTGAAGCCGTATCCCAGCCCCAGATCTACCACGGATTAGCTGTGTGGCTACAAGCAAGGCGCTAAACTATAATTTTCAGTGAGCTTTTTGATTGCATATTTATGAAAGAGAGTTTGGAGTCATCGGCTTACTCAGTTCTCCCAACAAGCAGGAAAGTTGCTCAGGGACCACACCATCCGGGTGAGGGAATCAGGAGTCTGGTCCACGCTCCCTGCCTCAGTTCCCCCTCGAGGGTGTGACGGTAACACATCTATCACAAGGCTGTCATTGCCTCCATAAAATAAAGGAAAACTAAACTAAACATTTGGACAAGGACACTGAACCCATCCAAAAATCTGGATAGAAACACAACACATGAAACATTAATAGAGCTACATTCTAGACATATCCAGTTTGCTTCTTAACAGTCCCGTGACTCATTTATCACATACTGAGTGATTTCTGTGTAAACTTGCATGCTTCAAAGGGCACTATCGGGACACCTGGGGGGCTCAGTGGGTTGAGCGTCTGACTCTTGATTTCAGTTCAGGTCATGGTCTCATGGCTCTGTGCTGACAGCTCGGAACCTGGAGCCTGTTTCAGATTCTGTGTCCCCCCACCCCCCTGTCTGCCCCTCCCTTGCTTGTGCTCTGTCTCTCAAAAATTAATAAACATTTTAAAAAATGAAAATAAATTTAAAAATGGTTAAAATGGAAAAGTTTATTATGCACACTTTACAACAATAAAAAAAAACTGTTGCAGATACAGTACATGCAGTATGATTCCATTTACAAATATATAAGCACAAACTAAAATCCTCAACAAGGGGCATCCAATGGTGGTTCTCCTGGATAGTGGATTTTTATTTTCTTTTTATGTGTATTTCTCACTAGTAAAATTCTTATTTTATAACAAAAGCAGTTGTTTTCTTTTAAAAGCTGTGTCCATATAATGAATGTTACTCAGAAACGAAGTGCTAATACATGCTACAACATAGGTGAACCTTAGAAACCTGCTTCATGAAAGAACCCAGTCACAAAAGGCCACATAGTACATGACTCGATAGATACATTTATTTTAAATTTACTTATTTATTTATGATTGGGAACAAGCCAGGGAGGGGTGGAGAGAGAAGGGACAGAGGATCTGAAGTGGGTTCTGTGCTGACAGCAGACAGCCTGATGCGGGGCTTGAAATCACAAACTGCGAGCTCATGACCTGAGCCAAAACCAGGAGTTGAACACTTAACTGACTGAGCCACCCAGGCGCCCCTGTATGACTCCATTTATAAGAAGTGTCTAGAATACGTAAATCCATAGAGATAGCATATCATCGGTGGGTTGAGGGCCTGGCGGGGGAGGTAGAATGAGAATAACTGGTAAAGGGAACAGCATTTCTTCTGGGAATGATGAAAAGGTTCTAAACTTGCAGTGATGTTGGCACAACTCTAAAACCACTGAACCGTTTAAAATCGTGTATTGTAGGGACGCCTGGGTGGCTTAGTCGGTTAAGCGTCCGACTTTCGCTTAGGTCATGATCTTGCGGTTCGTGGGTTCGAGCCCCGCGTCGGGCTCTGTGCTGACTGCCAGCTCGGAGCCTGGAGTCTGTTTCAGTCTGTGACTCCCTCTCTCTGACCCTCCCCTGCTCGCGCTGTCTCTCTCTCTCCTAGAAATAAATAAAACATAAAAAAAAATTAAAAAAAAAATAAAATAAAATTGTATATTGTAGGGGCGCCTGGGTGGCTTAGTCGGTTAAGCGTCCGACTTTCGCTTAGGTCATGATCTCGCGGTTCGTGGGTTCGAGCCCCGCGTTGGGCTCTGTGCTGACTGCCAGCTCAGAGCCTGGAGCCTATTTCGGAGTCTGTGTCTCCCTCTCTCTCTGACCCTCCCCTGCTCACGCTGTCTCTCTCTCTCTCCTAGAAATAAATAAAAATATTAAAAAAAATTGTACATTGTAAACAGGTGACGTATATGAATTCTACCTCGATAAAGC